TCTGACTTCCAAATTGGTTTAATCAAACCTTGGTCTAGTCAGAAAAGAAGACTAGAAGTTTGAACATCAAACTGTCAAATTTGTCAGCTAACTCAGATGCTATGTCATTCCTTTTGGTGTTTGCACCAAAGATTTGGGGTTGGAGTCCTCGTTCACCAGGGATGGGAGGCTTATGGGAAGAACAAACCAAACTATATAGTCCAGTTGAGTCTAGCTGTCTAGGAATTGAACCAAAAGAAAAAACTGAGAAGGAAGGATTGCCAAAAGCTTTGAAAGAGAAATGCTATTAAGCCAATGTTATCTAGTTAAGAGTTTACGCCAGAAACAAATTAATTCCAAGCATTGTAAATCAAGATTTGAGCATGGAAGCTAGCTTAGAGTCATCCATTGTACAATGGTTGCAGTGACAAACTGATAATCATCAAGGCAACACAGCAGCAACAGAGAGATATTTCCATGGTGATTCAATCTAGAACAAATAACTTGGTCATAAAGTTAAACAGTATTCAGTGTTCTTCGACCGTAGTCTCTCTACTGCACCAAGATGCACGGTCAAATTCTCTAGAACCTGTGCATTCTTCAAAAGATGCTCAAACCAATTGCAGCTGAGATTCAAATCCATGGAATAAACCATGTTGAACTGGACATTTCTTTTGAAGAGTTTACATTTTAACAAGCAAAGAACCTATTATCACCATGAAATCGACAGAATGTTGCAGATGGTTATTCTGACTTCAAAACAAGCACTTGGTGTAGTTATATTAAAAGTACTAGACTATTCGGGAAGTATCAGAATATCATGATGTAACATGAGGATCAGGAACCAGTGAGGTTACTCATAACAGATTAGGAAATTGATGACTCAAATTCTGCTTAAGTTGAGGATAAAAGAAACAGAAAAGCAAGAGGAACACCCCAGGATTGACAAGATTGATTTGAGCAGAAAATTCATAACCCATGTCTTTGAAGGGAATTTGTTTGTGTTTTGCACCTTAGGCTAACAATTCTGTTTACTCAATCATGTAAGAGTTGGCTGTAAATACATTTGAGAAGATTTGATGACCAAAATGGCTACCACACAGCTCAACATTCAAGAAATAATTGTAACAGATAACTGAATCTACAGCAACAGTTCTTTAGTGATCTTGGGCTGCTGGCTATTGGGTGCAATAAACCTAATACCAAATTCCCTAGAACTTCAGCATGCATCAAAAGCAGGTTCACTTGTGGGTGAATGAAACTGCAACCTAACACAGTCACAGTTGCTGCTGCATGTCCAATTGTATATGCCACAGCAATCTAGGAGAAAAGAAAAAGGAAAAAAATAACCAGAAATTCAGTAAGACTGTAAATCAAAACAACATTAAAAGCATAGCAAAAAAAGGAAAAGAAAAACTCACCTGAAACAAAGTCTTCCAGAACTCAAAATCTGTCTTTGGGGTCCCAGCAATTCTTATAGCTCATGACACCAACATCATGAAAGAACCACAAGCAAGAGACAAAGTTGAAGGCAACAAAGGGTAAGGATGATCATTCAAAACCTTCTCCTTATATATATTGAAAGCCACATGCAAAGCCCACCAAGTTGCAACATAAATACCAATCTGAATAGATGAGATATGCATGCATGTAGTTGAAGCTGATTTCTTAACGCTAAAACTCATTTTCATTTTTTTAAGTGTTTCTTGAACACTTGAAGAGGTAATCAAGGATCAAGAAACGATCAGCTTTTTCTGACGGAAAATTTCAAAACTTTGGGGAATTCTAATGAAAACTCAAAATGGGTATTTCTTAAAACCTTGAACAAGTTAGCAAGGATCATGAAGAAGACAAATAGAAGTCTAAACTTTGAAACAAGGCTACCGGCAATTACTAAAATACCTTAGTAATCCACGACTTTCCTTTCTTGCCTTATTTACAATAAACTAAGGAGATAGTTACATATATATTAAGTTAACACAAGGATAAAAGGCCTAAAAAAAAATCAGAAATTAAGCTGGAATATTAGCTAGAGTCATTAGTAACAGTATAGTTCACTGTGGCTACCAAAAACTCAACATCAGAGAAAGAATAGTAACAGATAACTGAATCTACAAGAAAGACTAAAGCTTGGCGTTTCTTCAAATTAAGTTCTTGGTAGCAGCAACTGTTCTTTAGTGATCTTGAGCTGTTGGCCCTTTGGGCAATAAACCTAATATCGAATCCCCTAGAACTTGAGCATGCATCAGAAGATACTTAGTTTTTTGCAGTTCGGATTTCTTCCCTCGGAGTAACAGAAATTTAATTGTAATTGCCATGGTGTGAGATAACAAACAAGGGGGTGATTTCTCTAAGAAGAAACAAAGATTTGAGAAATTTAAACAATCATGAGATGGCATTTCTTTGAGAGTCTTGGTAATGTTTCTAAAGCTGTAGTGATCTCTGACTGCAGTACTCTCTTCTCTTCACTAGTACGCACTGTCAAATTCCGTAGAATCTGTGCATTTATGGAAAAATACTCGACCAGTCTCAGCTCATCATTTTCTCCATGGAATGACAAAAATTTGATTGTCATAAGGTGAGACTACAAACATAAGGCCACTCTCTCGGGTAGGAATAGTGTGCAATCTGACCATGGAAATTCCTGACAAGTAGTCACAGTTGGCTTAGATGCAATTGAAATAGTTAGATTCCATACATACCAGCTCAATTGCAAGGGCTTCAAGACAGGGAGAACTTCCAAGTATGCTTTCCCAGTCAAAAGAGAAGGAAGTATCTATCTTCAGAAAGGTCAAGTTAGGAAAAGGGAACCCGATAAAGTCCAACTTGGGAATCTGACGACCTCCATAAGCCTTCAAATGAAAACGAGAATTCTAGTTAGTACTAAGAATGTTATGCAATATTCTCGAAAGGAAAAGGGAAGAAGATACATACATTTGAAAAATTACAACCTAAATGAAGTGACTTAATGTTACTAATCCCTCTCAGGAGACCTGCTTTAATCCCTCTCAGGAGATCTGTTGAAGGAGTGGGATAAAAGAAGCGCAAGATTGCTGGTTAAATATCAATAAAGGCTTCAACAAGAGACTGCAGGTTTAGTAATGAGTAGTTTTTTGCTGCAAAATCAAAGTGCTCGAAGTAGACACCAATGTCTTGCAAGAAAATAAACAACCAGCACTAGGCAGGCCAGGCAACCCTAATCCATATGTTTTCCGTAGTTTAGGCTCAAGCTCTTGAACACCATGCCGCAATGCATAATATAACCACCCATCAATCTGGTGGTAAATATCAACATATCGTCTGAATTTAAGACAGAATTTATCTATAGCATCCCTACTGCGGGAAAACAACACTCCTTTCACGAGATTGAAGAGTAAGAATCTGACATTAACATAATATGATGGACTTTCGTCATTATCATCAATGGTAAGACGAGAAGTCTGAGCAAAAATATACCTCCACATTCTTGATAAGATAGATGTCCGGATCATTTCTTGTAGAGGAAGAAATGAGATGATGTGACAAATAATTTCATCAGGTAAACTATTGAGCCCGTGGATGTCTTCGCCGTCTTAAAATCTCGCCTGCTGAGCCATCAAGACCCAAGTTTTTTTTTGTAAGATAAGGAGGCGATAACCAAGAATTCTGAAACTTGAATGCAAGTTCGAGTGAGAAAAAATCTGCAATGTTATTCCATAATTCAAAAAATTTAGTTTAAGGATCTTATTATATAAATAAATTAAATAAAAGAAAATTTTTATTTTATCTATAATTTTTATGAGAGTCTTCTAACTAAATAAGAAAAATATTAAAATTATGAACATACCCATTTATGATATTTGGGTTTTTTATTTTAACTTCTAATGCTTAGTCTGTTTTAAGAAGTTATTTGTTAGACGTTTTACATCATGTTTCAACAAATGTATCTGTTGAGTTTCAATAGATATGTTTATTGAAAACACTAAACACTAAAAGTTATACTGAATATGTTTTAACATATGTGTTTGTTGAGTTTCAATAGATGTGTCTGTTGAAAACATTGAATAATTAATCAATGTATTTTAATAGTTTTCTTTTATTTTAAGGGTTATGTTTAATCTAAACCAAAGACTTCCACCATTCAGAATATTTAATATTGATGACATTGAAACCCTGGTTTTTTCCTTTTGAAAAAAAAATTAGAATTTCTTGATTGGGACTAAAATTCTTGCATTGATTAAGCTTGTTTAGTATGAACTCTCTATTAACTTATTGCCACGTGCAGTGTCTCATTGTTAAATCCCAGTGTGACTTTCCTTACTAAAATCCTGCCAAGGCTTAAATTCTGTTAAAAGGAGTTCCTGAACCATTGTGCTTAATAAGTCTGAGGCATGTGCTGTGAAGTTCCATGTTTGATGGAACATAATCCAAGGAGTGGTTAAACCTTGTCACTTTTAACTGGGACAAAATCTCCACACTATGACTTGGGAATTCATTATTCATTGAATTTTAGAGTAGCCTTACTTTACGAACAACAATGTAGTGAAGTTGTTCTGAGTTCTGATGTTCATTTACTGTTGGAAGAAACCATCATACAACACTGCCAGGGCTCCAAATCTTCTCTGTTGGTTCTTTCCTGATTGTTCAATTAGGATAAAAGTTGATCCTCACAGAAAAGGAAAAGAGTCCGGGTTTCACTGTGATTTTGCACTTTTGGCTAACATATTCTCTATCACTTTCTCTACAATTACAGAACTTGACAAAATGCCCCAAGTTTATAATCATCTTCTTGGCTAACAGTGTTCTCACCATCAGGCTAATTCGAATTATATTTGAGCAGAATTGATCAAAGAAACCAAAAAAAAAAAAAAAAGATTACTAGCCTTAGAAATTTGAAGTTAAATGCAATGTTATTGATTACCATGAAAAATTAATAATGCTAATAACTTTAATATGGTTCATGACAAATTGAAAACCATGACTACCACACAGCAATATCACAGAGATAACAGCAACAGCTGACTCAACCTAGAAGAAACATATTAGACAATTACAACTTGGCATTTCTTTGAAGCTCTCGGTGACTCCAGCAGTTCTTCTGTAATCTTTAATTGCCACTTCTGTTCTGCAATCATTTGTATTATCAGATTTTCCAGAACTTGTGCATGCTTCAGAAAATACTTAGCCGCTTCCACTTCAGATTCCAGCCCTCGGAATGAGAGAAATTCAATTGCCTTGATGTGAGATAACAAACAAGGGGGCACGTCCTTTGGTGGATTCATGATACTTTCTGTAAAGTCTGGAAGTACCTGTAGAGAAGAGAAATAACTTTACTAACGATACTTGCCTGCATGGACTAAGATAGATTTACATAAAGATTTGCATTCATACCTCTAAGGCAAACACAAGGGTCTCTAAAAATGGAGCATAATCAAGCAATCTTTCCCAACCTTCATGGTAGCACCGATTAATCTTCAAGTAAGTCAAGTTTTTCAACACAGGGATTGGACCCCGACCAAGAAGAAGAACCTTCAAAAGACAAAAAAAGTTGTAGGACTTGATTAGTTATAAATTTCTGCTACAAAAATCCATCGATAAGAAGTTTGTGCAATTAGTTTGGCGTTTTAAGAAAAAAAATCAACAAGAAATTAGGATAAGAAAACAAACCACTGAAAGTGGACCAGATAAATGAAGGGATTGAACACGACTAATCCCTCTAATCAGATCAGCAGTACCAGAATCATAAAACTCAGAATTGAGAACTGGTCCACAATTAATGTAGGCTCCAACCAGGGATTGGAGATCTATGTATGAATAATATCTTGCTACGAAGTGATAGCATTTGAAGTACACAAGACTTGGTGCATTAATCACGACCTCATGCTTATATTCATAAACCTCAGGATAACTTATGGTCAGTCTCTTGAGAGTAGGGTTACTAACTTCGAATTTGCTTATGTTCTTCAACTTGCAATTTTGCACAACCAATTCCTCAAGCCTGGAGCAGCTAGAAAAGAGCCTTTGAACAGAATCATCATCTGTGAATTCAATCAACTCTAGGTAGAGAATCTTGAGTCCTGGAAGACAAATCTTACCAGGGATTTTCGGGAAAACAAGGTATCTCGCCTGCAATTTTAATGTCACTAGTGTCTTGCAAGTAAGTACCCCATCAGGCAGCACGTAAAAAATTTCCATTGAGAAGGGTAGCTGTAGCTCAAGCTCAAGCTCTCTAACGTTATGCCACAGTGCATATTGTATCCATCCATCGACCGGCGAAGGTCCCATACCTATTGCAAATTTGAGATGAAACTTTTCTACATCCCCCTGACGAGCAAAGAGAACTCTATCCACAACTTGCTTCAATCCATAACGGCAACGCTTTGCAGGTTCGAGCTTATCATCAATGTTAAGTCTCGACATCGACGTGAAAAGATTCTTCCACCTTCTTGACAGGATGGATGCTCGAATTGTTTCTCTTAGTGGAAGATATGAGATGATACGACAAAGAAGGTCATCAGGTAAATTACTTAACCTGTCTCTCTCTGAGTACTCTAGTGGACAGCTCGTCGCCATAAGAAATTCAATTGAAAACCCTAAGAGAAATCAAAATTAAATATGGTTAGATAGGTGAAGGAATTTTATATATATATAGGACTATTTAAATACTAATTAAATATTCTAGTATAACAAGGTAACAGTATTTTATAATAACTCTGATTTGATAATTTTTATACTCTATGCCAACTTCAGTTTGGAAATTAAAACAAATTAAAACTTGAAATCAACTATTGGTTGCATGACATAGTGACGTGGTAAAACACCGCATACAGAAGGCGATGTAATGAAACATGAGGCAAAGGGGCATTGAATTATATAAAATCATAAGTAAACTCTGTTTATACTCATTATAATTTCAATTTTTTTTTCGGATGACATCATATAGATTCTTCTCAATTAGTTACTTTGTGAATATATTATGTTTGCATAAAGATTAAATCATTAATTTCATCCGATAAAATATCAAATAATCATGGGTTCAAAAATTAACTTATTTTCACACTCAAAACAGTCCAGTATATAAAATTATCAGTGTAAATCACTAAACTTGTTAAGTTCTAAAATAAGTAGTGTTACATTTTTTTTCAATGTGCTAAGTTACCTTTATCGATAAATTTGAAAAGAACTTTTGTGCCTATGAAAAAAAAATATTTAATTTAAAAAAAAAAAACAAAAACACCATGAGATTGTTTTCGGGAACTCCCTAATCCCATTGTTGCAGAGAATAATGTTAGTCCACTTCCTAGTAGCCTCTTGCAATGTCTCATTGTTACAGGATTGGTATTATACCCCACAATTGCCTTCTCTGCCATCAGGATTCTTTTCTCCTTTACTCAAACGTTTAGCATCATCCTTAGCCTTCTCCACTTCCATCACTGTGATACCCTTAGCAATAATCCGTCCTTGCTGTGCAGAGTTCTTTCTCTTCTCCATCGGCTAATGCTGTTTCTTCTTCCTAACTCTATTTCTCTCCTTACATTCATCAATCCGAAGTTCAGGGCCATTTAGAATCCGATAGAGAATTTCAGGAAAGTCTTACAAGCAACCAAAATTTCCAAGCACCTCCGCTTTTACCAGCAGTGAAAGCCAGGAATGGATCTACCATCTCAGCTGGATTAGGATCCTTGACAGTGTCAAACCAACCAGTTGTTGGCTGACGGATATCTGGTGGACCAAGAAGTCGAGAAGACAAACTCCTGTCCGATTCTCTCAAGCCAGCCGAATTAGGATCCACAAGACAATGAGATAGATACAGGACACCCTGGAAGCTATTTCTTTGCTGCATCTACATTCTGCTGTTGTTTCCTCTCTCCTTCCTAAATCCTAATGTCACCTTCACCATCCTAAACAGCAAATTTTGAGTGTAAGGGTAAAATTATAGGATTTTAATCACCATAGAAGCAACAAATCAGAATTATACAACATCCTGGGATTGTGGAAGGCGTTTGACTTTGGCTTGTTAGGGACGAATGGGAAACGTGTATTAGTAATCTTGGCAGGAAAATTTCTCATGAACCTTTCTCTGAAATAAAACAGGTTGGCATTTTCAATTTAAAAACTGCCTTAAGGCTAAACGCATGGCTTCTGGTGTCACCTAAGATCGAAGACTGTTATGTAAATCACATGTTAGAACAGCATGTTAAATTCATCATCAAACATGTTCAAGCATCGCACAACAGTTTCCTGCCTGATTTTTTTGTGTTTCAGGATCCCTGCAACTTGATATATCTCCAAGGAAGAGTTTTCTATATTATGCTAAAGTAGTCCCCCTGAAGATAGATGCAGAAATGAAAGAACTGAGTTCATATTTGAATTCTCAGCAAGCATAAGCATAGTTAAACACCAGTATCAAATTTGGCTTGGCTGACAGAAGCCAGAAGTAATCTATATGCAAATTTGAGCCTGGAAACAGCATGTTCATAAATCAACCCATGGGTGATTAGAATTCAAGTAAGGAACAGAATTATTACCTGCCTTATAGATCAATGCTGAACTGGAAAATTAACTCGACATTGGTAAGAATATGGTTGTGAAAATCTGACAACCATCACTATCACACAGCAACAAGATAGAGAAACATACTTGCAACCTACTTCAATTCATAAGAAAAGTTTGAGAAACTGATCAGACAACCAAGACTTTGCAATTCTTTGGGGCTTTTGGTAAATTCAACAAGTTGTCAGTGATATTTGACCTCCATTCTGCTGAATTCTGCCTTCTCCTTGCTATAATCTGTACTGAGAAATTCTCCAGAACTTCTGCATTCTTCAGAAAAAACTCAACCATTTGCATCTCACTTTTTCTACCTTGGAATGACAAAATTTCAAGTGTCTTGAGTTGAGAACATAGACAGGAAGGAAATCTCTTGGATAGCAGCAGATCTTTGCTGATGTTGCACGAATGCTGCAAATTAACCTGAACAAAAATTTAATAGATGGATTCATACTTGCCACACTACATTGACCATATGGACTCAGTACAAACCATATTGAATTATATTTCCTTTCATACCTTAAAGACGAGTTTCTAGAGACACTGAGATTCTAATTCCCTTCACTACAAAAGCTGATACATGTAATCAAGAAGTAAACTAACTTCTTCGACTGATGAACAAATGATGATTAAAGTCTTGTGCAAAGGGTCGGTTTTTGGTCAGGTTAACTTGTCAGGTTATTTGTCGTGTGGACAAAGAAAGTCAATGATAAATCTCAGTTTGACCTTTCTTACTAAAATCATGCCAGGCTTAAATTCTATTAAAAGGAGTTCCTGAACCATTGTGCTTAATAAGTCTGAGGCATGAGCTCTGGCCATGTTTGATGGAACATATTTTGAGGAGTGGTTAAACCTTGTCACTTTGTAACTTGGACAAAATCTCCACAGTATGATTTGTGAAGTTATTGTTCATTTAATTTTAAGGATATTCTGCATACTTTCTTGGCTAATGAGAGTTTCAGACTCATCCTTGTAGTTGAAATCTGATGTTCATTTACTATTGGAAGGAACCATCATACAACACTGCCAGGACGTTAATCTTCTATGTTTGGTTCTCTCCTGATTGTTCAATCAGGAATAAAAATTGATACGACAGAAAAAGAACAGTGTTGAAAAGGGGATTTTGCACTGTTGGCTAATAGATTCTTAATGATCACTGTCTCTACAATTACAGAACTTGATAAGATGCCCAAGTTTGTAATCATCTTCTTGGCTAACAATTTTTTCACCGTCATATTGACTAGGCTAAGTCGAATTATATTTGAGCAGAATTATCAAAGAAACCACACCACTATCAAGCCAATTCATGGATACTAGCCTTAGAAATTTGAAGGTAGCTGCAATGATTAGCTACAATGTTAAACATACAAATTGATAACCATGACAGACCACGAAACAATATCAGAGAGAAAACAGTAACAGCTAACTCAATGTAGAAGAAACATTGAGAAAATAATTAAACAATTACAACTTGGAATTTCTTTGAAGCTCTCGATGACTCCAGCAGTTCTTTGGTGATCTTCTTTTGCCGTTTCTTTGTTGCAAACGTATGTATTATCAGATTTTCCAGGACTTGTGCATGCTTCGGAAAATACTTAAACCATTTGCACTTCAGATTCCGTTAATTGCCTTGATATGAGATACCGAACAAAGGGGCACTTCCTTTGGTGGATTCATGAATTTCTCTGGAGGGTCCTTAAAGGTTCGTGTAGAGAAGAGAAATAACTTCACTAAAACTTGCTTCTGATGCATAGTCTAGGATGGATTGACATGAAGTTTTACTTTCATTCTTACATCTAAGACAAGCACAATGGTCTCTAAACAAGGAGTATGATCAAGCAATCTTTCCCAACTTTCATGGTAGCACCCATTAATCTTCAAGTAAGTAATGTTTTCCAACATAGGGATTGGACCCCGATCAAAAAGAACAGCCTTTAAAAGGACAACAATCTTTGTAGTGCTTAATTAGTTATGATTTTCTGCTAGAAAAAAATCCATCAATAAGAAGTTTATGCAATTAGTTTGGAGTATAGGAAAAAAATCAACAAGAAACTAGTGTCAGAAAACAAACCCCTGAAAGTGGACCAGATAAATGAAGTGATCGAACATGACTAATCCCTCTGAGCAGTTCAGTTGCATCATAATTAAGGAGATGTGTATAGAAAGCTAGTCCAAAATCAATATAGACTTCAACCAGAGAGTGGAGATCTATTAATGAATGGTATTTTGCTATAAAGTGAATGTAGTTGAAGTACTGCAGACTTGGTGCATTAATCACGAGCTTATGATCATATTCATAAAGCCATTGATAATTGCTTTTGGTCAGTCTCTTGAGTAGAGTTACAAATTGTGAATTGTCTTATCCACTTGAAATTGCAAGTTTTTACAACCAATTCCTCAAGCCTGGAGCAGCCAAAAATTAACAACATTGGAGTATATAAAATTATAAGGGTAAATTACTAGACTTGTTTAAGTTCTATAATTATTATTAGTAGCAAATGGGAAACGTGTATCACTAATCTTGGATGGAAAATTTTTCATGAATCCTTTCTTTGAAATAAAACTAGTTGTCATTTTCAATTTAAAAACTAACTTAAGGTTAAACGCATGGCTTGCAGGATTCCAAGAAAGAGTTTTCTATATTATGCTAAAGTAGCCCCCTGAGGGTAAATGCAGAAGCAGAAATACAACTGTTGTGTGTCTAACCTCGCGAAGGTGGCAACCACTAAAGTGAATAATGGCCAAACTCTCGCTAAGATAACAACCACTAAAATGATGGTCAAACTCTTACGTGGATTTGGCATTCAAATAAACTTAAAATATTATTTTATAATATAATTTTTATGTAAAACTTAGATAATAATAATCTAATAATATTCTTCTCTATCAATGGTATAGTTAAACATCATCAGTATCAAATTTGGCTTGACTGACAGGAGCCAGATATACATGCAAATTTGAGCCTGGAAACAGCGTGTTCATAAGGCAACCCATGGATGGTTAGAATTCCAATAAGGAAGAGAATAATTACTTGCCTTATAAATCAATGCTGAATTGGAAAATTAACTCGACATTGGTTAGATATATGGATGTGAAAATCTGACAACCATCACTATCAACCTACTTCAGTTCATAAGAAAAGTTTCTGAGAAACCGATCAAACAACCAAGACTTTACAATTCTTTGAGGCTTTTGGTAACTTCAACAGTTTTTTAGTGATCTTTGACCTCCATTTTGCTGGATTCGGCCTTTTTCTTTCTCTAGGCTCTACTGAGAAATTCTCCAGAACTTCTGCATTCTTCAGAAAAAACCCAACCATTTGCATCTCCTTTCTACCTTGGAATGACAAAATTTTAAGTGTCTTCAGTTGAGACCATAGGCAGGAAGGAAATCTCTGGGATGACAGCAGCTCTTTGACGATTTCTGTATTGACCTGAACAAATTATATGGATTTAGAACAAATCATATTATATGGAATTAGAACAAATTATATTGAATTATATTTCGATTCATTATACGAACCTTAAGGACAAGAGATTCTAGACAAGGAAAAGATGCGAGCAAAACTGGTAGCATGCTTTCCCACCCAACAAAGAAGCGGCCATCAATGCTCAAATAAGTCAATTTAGGCAACTCAGGGATTACGATTCTACCCTGTGGGAAAACCTTGAGGGAAAGACAATAGTTGTTACTTGTTAGTGCAGTTTTCTACTAGAAAAATCCATCAACAAGACGTTCACTCTTTTCGTAATAGAATATTAGGGTTGAAGAAGACTAACCTTTCCAAAAAGACCACATATACGAAGTGATTTAACATTACTAATGCCTTTAAATAGATCAGTTGCAGCTGTATTATAAGAAGGAAAAGTGTTATCAGATTCAAGAACTGTCCCGAACTCGATATCTGCTTCGACAAGAGAGTTAAGATTTTTGTGGAAGAATCCTTTTGGTATTTGACGGCATTTGAAGTAGACAAGGCTAGGGGCATCAATCACAATCTCATAATCTTTGAAAGCTCTCTCATGAAAGGCTATGGTCAGCCTCTTCAGTGTAGGGATGGAAATCTTGAATCTGCACCTTGTTTTCAAGATGCAGCGGTCTGCAACCAATTCCTCAAGCAGCGAACAGCTAGAAAAGAGTCTATTTATTGAATCATCATCCAGAAGTCCAACACCAGAAAGATGAAGAATCTTGAGGCTAGGCAAACATATCTTAACAGGCACTTTCAGGTCAAACATGCACCTCTTGTGACCGTGCAATCTTAATGCCACCAATGTCTTGCAAGTAAATACCCCGACAGGCAGCATATTGAACACTTTACAAGCTACGGATAAATCAAGCTCTCTAACATCGTTCTGCAATGCATATCGTATCCATCCTGCAAGTCGATAAGAATCAACAAACCCTCCACATCTGATACGAAATTTTTCCACAACCCCTGTATGGTAGAACAGAATTCGATCCACAAAATTCATGAAATTATGACAATCTGACTTTCTCCTTGTAAAACAATCCTCCAAGTTAAGATTAGACATCAAAGTAGAAATCTTACTCCACCTTTTTGAAAGAATAGATGTGCAAACTGCTTGTTTCAATGGAAGGAACGAGATTATGTGACTAAGAACTTCGTCAGGCAGACTGCTGATACTGTCTGCTACTTCGCTAACTTTAACTTGCTTAGCCATCAGTAAAAGAATTACAATCAACTTCAGCAAAACAAACCCAGAAATTTTTCACCAGGATGACGCCCGGCATGCGAAACCTAGTTTGCCTTTTAACTTCTATATCAGATTTCGTCTGCTATATGTATATAGTTCTCTTTCAATACAGAAAACCCTGTTTCTTTCAATTCAGAGAACACTTTTTACTTTGACTGAGGGTCAAGAATCCTAGGTTCTTTAGGACAAGAATATCCCGGAGGGACTGATAACACCCTAGTTTGCTTTTCCTTCATGATCACGGCAAACTGTTTTTCCCTTTTATCTTATTGTTATAATTATTAATGGAAGAGTAATGGCGGTGCAACTCTTGGAGAACATGGTCATTGCGTCATTGGTCTCCAAGCAAATTCTTTTTTTTAATTTATTTTTATGCAAAATCTAAACTATTAGGGGATAAATATATTAAAATAATGCCCTTTTTATTCACCCATGGTTGAATTTATCCATTACATGATACAAAGTACTAACTATTGAATTTTTCAATTGGAAGGTATACTCTATTCAAGAAATGGGTTCAAATTTCTATTCATCTCAAAAATAAAATAATGTAAAGATAAAGATTGGATTTAAATAACTGTTTTTATTAAAAACAAGACATAATTTACTGCAAATAATCATCAAATTTTTTTTGGATAATTGAATTAATTGATTGATTTAATTTAAAAATTCAATTAATCTAGCTATTGATTGATTTAATGATCTAATTAGATTAATCAATTAATTTAGGGTCTATTTGTTTTGATATAAAATATTTTAAAAAAATATTTTAAAGACTTATACTTGTTTGAAACATAACAAATTTATTTCAAATATATACATTTTACAAGTCATTAGAAAAAATAGTCATTAACCACGAAATTGTCTAAGGTTAAGAGGGGTGTAAGACATTTTCTAGATAGCATAAAAAAAAAACTTTTATACTAAGTCTAGGAGTATAGATTTAATGAATATTAATATTCAACTTAAAATATTAAAAAAAATTAAAATATATTAATGTTTAACTTAAAAAAGTTTTTAACTTAAAATATTAATATTTAAATTATTCAATACTATTAAAATTAAAAAATATTTTTTAATGAAACCATTCAATGCAATTAAATGTTTATTTATAAATGATATAAATTTTACTAATAATTATAATAAAAAATATTTAAATGATATGATTAATACATATTAGTATATATAAGTTTTGGATGTCTTACACAATTTATAAATATTGATATTTTTATAGTGAATACACATAAATATAAGTTTTAGATGTCTTACACAATTGTTAAATATTGACATTTTTATAGTGAATACACATAAATATAAGTTTTGCATGTCTTACAAAATTGATAAATATTGATATTTTTAGATTTAGGGTAAGTTATGGTAAAAATGTGATGAGATAGAAATTTTTTAAAAAATTAGAGATTACTTTAATTTTAAACTATCATAGAGTTAAAAAGATTGTATGAATGATTGTGTTGCATTAATCATTAAATAAAATACTTAGATGTGAACATGCTTAGACAATGAAAGTACTATATATAGGTAATAGCAGAGCAAAAATGGTCCATACATGCAAAGGCTATAACTTAGCAAATATGGTTTTACAAATTAGAAAAAGTCAATCTAAGACAAAAGGAAAGGATTTAATTTATTGTTTAAAATCTCATGGTTGAGAATAAGGTAATGAAATTGATAGAGAAATATATAAACCTAAGTGGGATAGAATTGATAAAGAAAATAGAGATGTAATGGAGATCATACTGAAAAATTTATAGAATTCAAAAATGAAAAATACAAACGTGGGAGACCTTAAACCCACATGTTTAAAGTTGAAGACCAAAAAATTTAAACTACATCTTCAACCAACCCACATATCATTCAGCTCAAGCTCTAAACGACTCAAAATTATCACTCCATGTGGTACTAGGATAAGGCACTAAAAGCTTCTTTTTATATATGATTATAGATATATTGATTTTACCAATTTTCATATTTATTTTTTATTTAGATCCAAACCAATACTTTATAATGAACACCTATTTATCATTTTAACATCCACATAACTCCATTTTTCCACGAGATGATTTAAACTAGAAAATATTTTTCACGAGATAATATAAACAATAGAAAATGTTTTCCATTTGTGATACTGAAAAATATTTTCCAAAAATATTTTCTACCAACGAAAATATTTTCGATAGTTTATACAAACAATAGAAAACATTAATTTTTTTTTTCAATTATCAAAGGGACCCTTAATTAAAATAAAATTTTAAATTTTAATCAATTAAACTGAATGCACATGTAAATAGATAGTTTTTGTGTAGTTTTTTTTTTTTAAAAAAGTATCAAAATATTCTCAATTCAAAGTTAACATTTTGCGAGAAGAGAAGTTACCAAGAAGATATTAATTGAGAAATTAAAAAAAAAAGTTGAAACTATAAAAGATATAGATAAGATTTACCCTTAAAATCTTTCAAGCACATACAAGACATATATAGCTAGACTGATACACAAGACATATATAGCTAGACTACAAGACATTTACAGTTAGTAACTTCTTGGGCATTCGATTGATAACAAATAATAACTATAGTCGCTTACATTGAATGACTGTATTGCCAACAAACAATTAAATTAGATCTAATGCTTTTCATTATTCAATGAGGATACAGGTAAATGATATTCTATTTGACATTGACTTGAACCCCTTGGTGCATCGAGAATGCTTGCTATTACTTTACTGCTTACAGCTCTTGCACTGCATACAACCAGCTTCTTCAATGCCAATCCATTCCTCAAAAAGTATTTCACAACTTCCGCATCTTTCTTGCGAAATCTATTAATCTGAACTGTCTCAAGGTTGCATGACAAACAAGCAGCGGGCGGTGCATTCCACCTGTCGTTGCGAACCAGTTTATATGGAAATTTCTGACAGCAATAGGATGAATCCAATCAATCCTCGGATCATACAGGGAATAAGAGAAATTGATGTACTGATTCAATATGCATGTCCTGAACTTACCTTTTCCAACACCAAGGAAGTCAAATTAGGTGAATGGTCTAGCAAGAGACGCAAAGCTTGACAGTCATACATATAATCAACTTCAACCACAAGATGTGCCAAATTCTGGAAAAGAGGTGGATTCTCATGTTCCCTGATAAGTCCAAGGCTCAGCAACATCTATCATATGTAAAAGATTCAGTCATTGAAGGAAACATATATGGGCAAAAGCGAGCGAGCATGTGAGAAAGGCAGAGAAGGGACTTACATTGTCTTCGTATATCTCCAGCTGCTTTACCTTGTTATAGATGGTCGTCAAGAGCTTGGAGGTGGAAGCCCTATTAGGCTCAGTGACATTGATGCTTGCTGCATCTAGGGACAATAGGTTATTCTGACAATCACCTTGTATCATAGAACCTCTAAGATATTTTACATGTAGTCCTGATCCCTTGAGGCAATCTTCTATATGGAACCTTTCAAGCACAGGGAAAGCAGAGAGAAGCTTGTTGAAAAGGTTATCATCCAAGATAGAGATTGATACAAGCTTGAGGGTCTTAAGACATGGAAACACCACGTCAGCAGGGATGCTATCAACTATGTTACAACCAGCCAATTTTAGAGATTTCAGTCTTTGGCACGAAAAAAGTATACAAGGTAAATTAACATAATGAATCTTATGAACGTTATTTACGTAGATATCAAGCTCCTCAAGAGTAGACACACTTGCAGTTGCAGAGAGAATCCAGTTAGACATCTTGGTTACGCTATAGCTGGGGTCATAACACCTGAGACGAAACGTCCGAAGCCTATGCAATTCTTCATGGTTACTCAAGGCTTTGTCCAAGAATTTCTCAAAGGTCTTTGCTGGACTTAGATTGTCCCTGAAATCAAGAATGCGGACTGACCTCCAAAGGTACCTAAATCTTGATGACAAAATGCTGGTTCGTATTGCAGAATGGGATGGAAGAGAAGAAAGAATCTTGCAAAGGATTTCATCAGGTAAATCACTGATCCGATCCGTTCTTCTTTCGGTTACCTTCACCTGCATCAGGCTTTTTTTGCTGACTTTCTGCATCGTTACCTGCACCCGCATCAGCCATTTATTGCTGACTTTTAGCAGAAAACTCCCCAACCTTGATAGGTTCAGATATAGTTTTAGCAAAACTCTATTACAAGGCATGGCAGTAGAGTTTTCTGAACCCTTGTAGGCTTTTACCTTCTGCTTAACACTTCCTAAAGCTTTATGGAACAAGATTTCTCATGTTTTCTTTTCTGTTTTCTCCATATTATCCTAATCTCTCCATTATCCTCATCTTTTTGCTCAATCTATTTTTCTTTATTAATTATAAAACTTAAGTTAATGCAAATCCAATGTGAAATTTTACATACTTTAATAAAGTTTCTTTATTAATTTTGGACCAGCGCCATCTATTAAAATTTCTTTAAAGATAAAAATAAATCCATCCACAGCTCAGATAAAAAGATCAAGTAGATTAAGCTTGTTATTAGTAATTAATTCCTATCATCATATCAAAGAAGAGATTTTGAATGCTTTTAGTTCCAATTTTGACAATATTTGAGACCATATCTAATTCAAATTCTTAGAATTGGGAACAAGAACATTGTGATATATACTTATGCAAATCCTTAAACATACAAGCAAGAAAGGCAGACACCGAAGAGAAAGAAAGGAAAACAAACAGTTGCTATTTGAGCATCCCAAGTCAGAATTTAAGCTGTAACGAAATCAATTGTCAAGTGCTACAAATTACCAATAATAGAGACAGTGGAGATACGTCGAGGCCTTGGTGAAGACACCAATCTTGGCTAGACGTCGGGAAGTTGTGAGGATACCATTCTTGACTAGTTGACGAGGTTAGGTGAAAAATAGCCAATCTCTCACTTTAATTGGCTAAGTCAAAGATATTAAAACCTTTTTTTGTTTAATTGACCAAGCCAAAATACTAGAACCTCTTTCTCTTTATATTCTTTATTAATTCGTCAATAACCAAAATATTAAAACCTCTTTCTCTTGATATTCTTTATTAATTCACCAATAGGGTTTTATCCTAGAACCTCTTTCTCTTTATATTCTTTATTAATTCACTAATAGGGTTTCATTTGAAACTTACTTGTAGGGTTTTATCTTAAATTTTCTTAAAATGCAAGTAAAGGAAAAAAAATAACTAAGAAAAAGTTAAAGGAAAAATAATTATAAAAAAAAAATTTTCCTAACTTATTGCGTAAGTAGTACTCTTGTATTAGGAGAGCTAGAATTCCATTGGCTGCAAGGGCCAAGACACTTTGTTCAAAAGAGAAGAGAATAATAAATATAAGAGATGAAAAACATATTTCAGCTAAAACACTTTGACTCTAAAAATTAAGCAATCAATACGTTGTAAGGAGAATCTCAGATGCTATAACCAATCTTTGAAAATATGCATGAATAACCAAGCTTCAAGGTTTAATTCAAAATTAGAGACAAAGAGCCAAACTATTAATAAGAGAATAGACTTATAGGTTGTAGATAGTCAATTTTGATTAATACTTATTCTCTAAAAATTTATTTTATCGCATAATAGATAGCAGTGAAAGTAATCTGCAATAGGTGACATGGTTTGTGGGTTACTTTCGTATTGGGATGTTTCAGAGAGTTTGGTTTGGCTTGGTGGCTCAGATATGGAGGTAGTTAAAAGCTTCTTCTCTTGTATCTATTCACGTACAGAGCTCCTATTCGAGAACAAGTTTTATTAAATATAATTATTTCAATGATAACATAATAAATTTTTAACCGTTATTCAACATTAACCTTCAGTAACTGCTACTTAACATTAAAACTCTCCTTACCTTAAGTGTTTTCTTGTAACTGTTATTTTGACACTATATATATAAACCCTTTACAACTCAAAAAAGGAACTTTTTTAGAACTATTGGACTCTAACTCATTGTTTTTCTCTTTAGCCTATTCTCAATCAAAACACTTACTCTTTTCTTATTCTCTTCCACCTGCCACGATATTATTCTTTTTTTATTCTCTTTCACTTGCCACGACATTTAGTATTTCAGGAACTGTTCCAATCTTACTCTCATCACAAAAACCCCATTTACATAGGTCTATGAAGAAGCAAAAGTTTGAACCTCAAATGTTAACAAGCTTAACCAATCATTCAAAAGGAGAATTAATGAAACAAAGCAAGAAAACTGACACAGAATCAATGGAAGTGAAGGCCAGTCACTTAGCATTTAGCAAACATAGAATAGAATTTACTTAGTTTTGAAAGAAAATACACACCAGGAAAGTGGCTAGCAGCCCTTTTTAACAATCTAAAAACCTCAAAAAGTTTCATACTAGCATTCAAGAGCTAAAAATTATGACACCCGAAAGACAAAAGAAATGTAATTTGAAAGCTTATATCTCTGCATCATTTTTGATGAGTTCTGACCCAGGGGAATCCTGTTAATAAAAACCTGACTGCAGCTTATTCTCAAATGATTGAAATGCTAGATTCCAACTTCACAGGATAGAACCCAATTTCAACTATTTTCGATTCTCTAAGAACTCGTAGCACTTGATACTTGGTCTCGTCTTTGAAATCACAATTGCAAAACAAAGATATCTTCTTCAAAACAGGCGCATGCTGACATAAATGCTTCAACAATTGTATACTAGCGGCAGTGGCCTCAAAACACAAGATGGCAAAGGATTTTAGACAAGAGCTGAAACAAGGTAGGGTTTGGAAAAACCAATCTTGATCTTGTGGTTTAAAACCCTGTATTGAAATAAAACACAATATAGTTCAATCCAGGAAATATGAATTGTTAGCTTAAAGGCATGCTTAGTGATATTTTGCCACAAGGGAAACTCACCGAAGCAATGCCAAGAGTTTCAAGTTTTGGTGCTTTTTGAAGCAGATACATCAATGCTCCCACAGTATAAGCACCAGGAAAGTAATGATCCGGTCTAACATGCAAATGAGTCAAATTGTGAAATGTGGGAAGACCTGCTTCAAGATTTTCTGCACCTTCAAGAAGCTTACACACAAAAGAAGAATGAAATTAGTATATATTCTCTTTCGGTGTAACCAAGTGCATAAAGGAAAACAAAAATGTTGCTCTACCCGAAGCAAATTAACATTAACTGAAACGGAATTTGCATTCTGAAGTCCAGCAAGTAGTTTCATTGCAAGGTGATAATTCTCTCCTCGATTTCTAAAGCCAATAATATCTACCTGAGCCCTGTCCAGAACTGGCAATATTGGATTGTATGGAACAAGTTGAACCAGCAACGAAATTCTCAACGATAAATGGCTCAGATTTGCTGTGTTAACTTTGATTTTACAATTCCCATTCTTTATCAGTCCAGCTTTATAATTGGAAAGAGAGAATTTCATCAGAGTAGGAATATCGATGTAGATTTCGTCTATATTATTCCAATCACACTGTTCTAAAACCAGCTCTTCTAGGACTAGACAACCTGAAAACAGCTCTTGGCAGGACTGCTCATCCTTAAATCTGACACCTGAAAGTTTCAAGACCTTAAGGCTTGGGAAACGGACAGGAGCAGGAACTTTCAGAGTACAATGCGACCTCAACACCAAGCTAATCAATGATTCCGAAGTAAAAAGACAATCCGGTAAGGTAACATATGTTGGTTTAATCAAGAGCCTTATTACAGCAGATAGCCATGGGCTGAAACCGAATTCATCAACTTCCTTCTGCAAGATAGGAGAGAGTTTTCTTTTACAAGCATTACGATGGTGGAGTGATCTATCTACAACCTTCAAGGAACTACCCCTTATATCTTGAATAGGACCCGGATCTTCAAAATTAAGGTTCGGGAGAGAGATCCACAAAATTTTCCATCTTGTAGACAAAACCGAGGTCCTTACAGCTTCTTTGGTTGGAAGGAAGGAAAGAATGTGAACAAGAACATCATCAGGTAAGCTGCTGATTCTGTCTTCTCCCTGACTGGCATCCTGTCTCTCCAAAGACATTTCCCTCATGGGACTAAGAGGTGAAGCATCGGTAGCCATGTTCACTTTATCACACTCAGACAAAGTATTCCGAGTCAGTAATAAAAAAAAAGGAAAAACAGAAAAAAAAAAACCTCAAGAACCCCATTTAAATGTATTTGTTTTATCTCTAACTACATAGTGAAGCTTTGCCAATTCCATATTTCCATATTCCTCCCAATCCCAATATCAGAATTGAATTTTCTTTTAGAAACCTATGGTGAAATTAGAGTTTTGAATGTGCTTTACTTCAGATAACTATCAAAATCATATAAAAAGTAAAGGGAAAAATTAAAAGAAAGAAAAAAAAAACAAAAATTAGTACCTGAAGGAGGAGGAGGAAGAAGTGAAGGCTGAAGCAGAAGTTTTTGATGGCTGAAAATCAAATGAGCAAAGGAGAGATCATTCTGGAGAAACTCTTCAGTCCATCTATTGGCTGTTGATTGGAGTTGAAATTCTTTGGCATGAGAAATTCTTCTTTCATTGAACTTCTTCCTTCTTCCAACTATCCTTTTCTTTCTTTTTTTTTTAAATTATTTTTTATACCATTAATGTAATGGAAAAATTCAACAAGCATAGTATAATATCAATTATTTATTTCATAATTTAACATTAATTTTATTTTCTTTTCTCTTTTTAAATTTCTTACCCTAAAAATATGTTGAGTTCATTCATCATATCCATATTTTTATTTGCTACTCAAATTGGTAGATGTTCTACCTAAGGTGATTACCACTTGAAAAATTGTCACTAATTTAATGAAAACCAAGTAAATTTGTTTGAGAATTGACCAATCCACAGCAAATTCACAAAATTTCTTACTCATCAATTCTATGCAATTTATTTATTTTTATAAAAAAGCCTATCAATTCTTTTATAAACAAGCATAGCAACTGCACTATATAAGGATATGCAATTTACTTAAATCTTTGAAGAAGAAAAGAAAATCCAAATTTGTCATGTATAGACCAAACTTGTAACACTCATCATGCCTTTTTTTGGAATTTTTTAAAACACCATAATATATTGGATATAATCTAATCTTTCAAAAGGTGAATTAATGAAACAAAGCAGGAACACCGACATAGAATCAGTGGAAGTGAAGGCCAGTCACTGAGCATTTAGCAAACATAGAATAGAATTTACTTGGTTTTGCAAGAAAATACACACCAGGAAAGTGGCTAAAAACCCTTCGTAACAATCTAAAAACCTCAGAAGGTTCATACTAGCATCCGGGAGCTAAAAATTGTCACACCCAATTGAAAAAATAAATGTAATTTGAATCATTTTTGATGAGTTCTCCTCCAGGGGAATACTGGTAATGAAAACCTTTCTGGATTATTTCCTCATATGAAATGCCTGATAAATCCAACTTCAGCTATAGAACCGAATTTTAACTCTTTTCGAGTCTCCAAGGACTTGTAGCACTTGATCCTTGATCTCTTCTGTCAATTCATATGAGGAAAACAAATATATCTTCTTCAAAACAGGTGCATGCTGACACAAATACTTCAACAATTGTATACTAGCGGCAGTGCCCTCAAAATACATGATGGAAAAGGATTTTAGGCGAGAGGTGAAACAAGGAAGAGTTTGGAAAAACCAATCTAGATCTTGTCCTTGAAATTCCTGTATTGAAATAGAACACATATAATTCAATCCAGGAAACATGAATTGTTAGCTCAAGGGCATGCTTAATGATAGTTTTGGCAGAAGGGAAACTCACCGAGGCAATGCTAAGAAATTCAAGGTTGGGTGCTTTTTGAAGCAGATACATCACTGCTCCCACAGTACCAACATCAGGAAGGCAACAAGTCGGTCTAACATACAATTGAGTCAAATAGTGAAATGTAGGAAGATCTGCTTCAGGATTTTCCGCACAATTAAGAACCTTACACACAAAAGAAGAATGAAATTAGTATTCTCTTTCAGTGTAACCAAATGCATCAAGGGAAACAAAAGTGTTGCTGATCTACCAGAAGCGAATCATTTGTCACATAGAGGGAATTAGCATTCTTGAGTCCAGCAAGTAGTTGCACTGCACGTCGACCATCCTCTCCTCGATTAGTAACCCCAAAAATATCTACCTGAGCACTCTCCAGAGCTGGCAATGGGTTGTATGGAACAAGTTGAACTCGGAGAAAATTTTGGCATGATAGATGGCTCAGATTTGCTGTGTTAATTTTGATTTTACAGTTTACACGTTTTACCTGCTGAGATGTATAATTGGAAAGAGAGAATTTCTTCAGAGGAGGAATATCAATGTTGATATCCGATATATTCTTCCAATTACACTCTTTTAAAACCAGCTCTTCTAGGACTAGACAACCTGAAAACAGCTCTTGGCAGGTCTGCACATCCTTAAATTTGACATGTGAAAGTTCCAAGAACTTAAGGCTTGAAAAACAGACAGGAGTAGGGGCTCTCAGAGTGCATTCCATCCTCAACACCAAGCTAATCAATGATTCTGCAGTAAAGAGACAATGGGGCAAGATAACATATTCTTGTTCAATTAAGAAAAGATCAAGGTTTTGAGTTTTATGCCTTATTGCAGCACATAGCCATGAGTTTAAGCGGAATACATCAACTTCCTTTTGCAAGGAAAGAGAGAGTTTCCTTATACAGGCTTTACGATGGTGGATTGATCTATCTACCAGCTTCATGAAACTAGCCCTTACTTCTGGAACACGATCCTGGTTTCTGTGTAAATACGAGAGATCAGTAAAAGTAAGGTTCGGGAGAGACATCCACAAGTTTTGCCATCTTGTAGACAAAACCGAAGTCCTTATAGCTTCTTTGGTTGGAAGGAAGGAAAGACTGTGAACAAGAACATCCTCAGGTAAGTTGCTGATTCTGTCTTCTCCCTGACTGTCGTCCTGTCTCTCCAAAGACATTTGCCTTATGGGACTAAGAGGTAAAGCATCAGTAGCCATGTTCACTATAATCACACTCAGACGAAGTATTCCGAGTCAGTAATAAAATAAACAAGAAACGCAGAAAAAACCCCAAGAATCCCCATTCAGTAACATCATAATCATGTAAATATATATATAAATTAGTACCTGAAGGAGGAGGAAACAGTGAAGGCTGAAGCAGAGATATCATCATAAAGAAACTCTTTTAATCTGCATTAGTGATTGATTGGAGTTGAAATTCTTAGGCACAAGAAATCCTTCTTTCCTTGAACTGTTTCCTTCTTCCTATCAAATATTTATTTCATTCAATACCTTCATAATTTAGTATTAATTTACTTTCTTTTTAATTTTTTTTACAGTACACAATATGTTGAACACACGCATAATATCCATATTTTTATTTTCTGTTAAAATTGGTAGATTGTATGTTACTTTTTTTTTTTTTTTTAAAAAGACAATTATTTTGCACACTCTTGTTTCTAACCAATAACCTTCTATGTTAAAGAGCTTAAAAAAGAAGAAAAAAGCTATTTTCCCCTAAAAAATTTAATAAAGAAATTTTAATTTATTGAATAATTTTAACTAAAGTGATTACCATTTGAAAATTTCTACTAATTAAATGGAAAATAAGTAAACTTGTTTAATAAAGATTATTGGCTGCTTCATTATCTTATATCTTAGCAATAAGGAACATAGTAGCTGAACATTGGAGATTGAGTTTATCAGAAGGCTTTAGCTTTCTATTTTCTGCACCAGAGAGTCTGTGTGCTGGCCAAAAACATTTCATTCTTGATCATCTATTTCATAACCAATAAACCAAGACCTGAAAACTTGACTTGAAAGAGTTATTGATCAAATTCTACAAGACAGTGAGATCCACGGCATATTTTGATTTGGAATTATTCTTTGTAATAAATGCAGTGACAAGAATATGGATAGAAAAGCAGGACGAGATATACAAGCAGATAAAGCACGTTGTCAATTAATTACCAGCCTAGCAAAAAACAGAAGAAATTCAATATCCAGGATGTGCTATAGCTTTACACCAATATGGCCTGAAAATAGCACTTGGAATTATTATAACTACAGCAAGCATACACTAAGCCATTCTTAACCTCTAAAATGGCTGCAATCCCATTTTTTCCAAGGCTATGCTTTTTCTCTGCCTCATAGCCTTTTTCCAAGTCTCTTTTGCCACTTCCAAACCTACTGGTCTATCCATGAAGCTCATCCGAAGGGATTCCCTGCACCCTGGAAACCTCACTAAAGTTGAAAGAATCAAAAAATTGTTACAATTGCCAGAATTTAGAGCTCCATATTTAGATTCTGTTTTGAGTTCCAATGCAACAGCAGATCTTGATACCGTCCATGTACCAATAGGTCGCGTTCCTGATAATCATCTATATGTGGTAGAGCTTAAAATCAGAAGCCGACTCCATCTGGTGAAGTTGCTGATGGATACTGGAAGTGGTCTAATTTGGATGCAGTGTAGGCCTTGTAAAAAATGCTTCAGACAGCAGCTTCTCATGTATGACTCTCGAGCCTCCACCAGCTATCACAAGCTTCCTTGCACTCACCCGCTTTGTCAAGGTGATTACAAATGCTACAAATGTTATAATAATGAATGTGTCTACAGCATTCGGTATGGTGTTGATTCTCATCCTAATCCACCTACGACAAAAGGTGTTGCATCTTTCGAATCATTCCAATTTCCTGTTGATAATGTCCACACTAGAGTCATTGATGGTATGGTTTTTGGATGCTCCAAAGATAACCAAAACTTTGATTTTTCCAATGGGGAGATTTCAGGAATTCTAGTATTAAGCTTGGCACCAGATTCACTAGCAACCCAGTTAGCTAGTAAAGGCATTACTAGTTATCGGTTCTCATACTGCTTAGGCCCTTTTACTGATGAATTGGTGCGACCTAGTGTCCTAAGGTTTGGAGATGATATTCCCCCACCAGTAGGAAATCTTCAAACAACACAAATTCTACCAAACGGATTCTATCACTTTCACTTGGAATTGTTAGAGGATCATGGCAGCAACAAAACATGCGTATCATTTATAATATGGATGTTGCTAGACTCCAATGGGTTACCGAGACTTGTGGTGATGATATTCCATGATTGAATTCCATTATCTTCTTCACCCTCTCCTCTTTGCCTTGTTTAATTTCTTGCTTCATATCAATCAGCAGAGGGATTGTTTAACTCAATTTTCTCAAAAAAATTGCTTTGGGAATCCTCTCATACAAAGTAAAGTTCACATGTGCTTTAACATCTTTGACAATGGAGTTTTTGTGGGAAACATCAGTTGGAATCAAGTTATTATTAAAACAATTGGCTAAGTTTCACCAACTAATAAATACTTTTCAAGACAACATAACAGTCACATTCATTGGAAGAAGAAGGGAAATTAATCCAAATGCATCGATGATCTGTGTATGAGTTTCAGTCTAAATCTCAATAACAATATAGAAGTTAACTTTAGAAGCAGGAAAACAGAAACAAACTCTGTTTAATCTTGCCTTTCAAGTCAAAATTACATGTTCACATAAAACTTTGAATTTTTCTGAAATTGGGGAGCTCCCTTGAGCACTACTTACAGCACTACTTCTACGTGTACACATACCACAGAATAAGCTAAAGAGCTGCCTCAACTCACATTTTACTCTTTTCTTTTCCAAGTCTTCTGATAAATCATCTGAGCAATGGTCTGAAAACGACTCCAAAGCTTTATCATTCTTGAGTATATATTTAAGAATGGAACGTCTTTCACATTTTTAAGATTTTTGAAAGAGATAGGTACAAGATTGTCCAGCAAATGATTTTCCTCTCCCAAAATATCAAGATCAAATCCCTAAAAATAAAAAATCACTTGTTAGAAAAAAAAACCAGCTTAGTTTTCTCATAAAATCAAGAGAATCCCTTTTCATGATATAACTAAAATATTGGAGTCAATAGAAACCTACTTGGAAAAAGTGTAGAGAATATAGACTTGGTGACTTTTGAAGAACATGCATCAATGTAGCTCCACCACGAGTGGAAAGGACAAAACTTACAGTCAAATGGGTCAAGTTGTAAAATGTAGGAAGATGAACAGCTTGAAAGTTTTCTGCAAATGAGATGACCTTGACAGAAAGTGGAAATGCTTTGTTACCAGAAATGAATGAATGAAAGAACATTCTTCTAGTTTGTAATGCTAAATTAAAGATATATATTGACATGCACAGATATATCACACATACCTCAAGTGTTCTGTTTGATAGTTCAAGATATTTGACACCACGAATTCCTTCTAATAATTTAAGGGTGCGATGACCAACCTGAACTCGTTGGTCATATGTCAACCAACCAAAAACATCAACCTCTGCACGAATTACTGAAGATAGGTCACAAGTCACAAGTTCAACTAGGGAAAAACTTGTGTAGGAAAAGTTTAAAAGATTTGGAGCACAAATCCTTATTGAAATATCAGGAGGACCATTGTATTCCAAGGAAATAGATAATGTCAGCAAAGTGGGAATAGAAATTTTAATTTCTGTTCTTTTGGTCCAATCACAGTTATCTAGATATAACTCTTCAAGGACTGGGCAGCTAGAAAGAAGGAGCTGAGCAGAGTACTCATCCTGGAATTCAATGCCATCAAGATTTAAGTACTTAAGTCTTGGGAAGCTTATGGAAGCTGGAAAACTATTCAAGGCAGCTTGAGTCATATGTAACGTCAAAGAAGTCAATGACTCGGAAGTACAAAGGCTATGAGGCAAGGAAAACAGATTGGATTCCATATATGGAATAGAAAGGTCTAGCTCTTCAACTTTATGCTTCACTATTTTAGATACTATTGACATTGACGCCAAGATTTGGGAAGAAGAGACGGCAAAAGTTGAATGCAGACGAAATTTTTGTATGCGTGCAGTGTCAGGAATCATGAGTAGCTCTCGCTTAACACTATCCAAGAAACTAGTAGTCTTTTTCTTCTCTTTATATGCATCGAAGTTAAAACTAACAATGGTAAAGAAAGTCCACAAGTATAGCCATCTTGTTGATAATGCAGAAGTGCTTACAATATCCTTTGTCGGTAGAAAGGATAGAATATGAAGGAGAAGTTCATCAGGTAATTCACTGATTATATCTTCACCAAAATCATCATGCTGGACTTGAAATCGATTCTGGGTTTCGGATTTCGTGGACAATGTGAGGGATTTAATTGCCAAAACAATAGAATCCATGTTGTCTATTCTCTTCTGACAAGAAAAAAAAATTTACTTAAATGAGAAAAACTTGAATTGTCTGCAAGAAACAAGCCAGCCAAGAATTGGAATAATCAATTAAATAACTTCAATCAGGTTGATTTTATAAGACATCAATGACAACAAGAAAAAACACATGTGTATAATTAACAATCAAATTCAAGAAACAGTGAATTAATCAAAAGCAATTCATCTATCTGAAACTTTCACTACATAATGCTTCTTATATAGTAATTGAAAAAATTCAATTAAAAAGAAAAAAAACAAATAGTCCTATTTGATCAATAACACATAATCCCAATCATAGGGTATGCAGTAAAAGAAACCAATTAAAAAAGAAAGAGAAAAAGGAGAAAGTGGGGTACCTTGGCTATGTGTAGATAATTCTGAAGTTTTTGAGTTGGTTTTGGTTTTTGGCTTGGTGAAAAAATCAGGTCATGTTGACCCTTTATATAGTTTACTGTCTTGACTTAAACGACCACGTTTGAGGAGTTTTATAGTTTCTCAATCTCCTCTCGGCAAAAATATATAATTAATTAAATATTTCTAAATAATTGAAAAAGGTAATTTATTAAGACCAAATTACTTAGTTGTACATTGGAATTTTTTAAGCTAAAATTGTTTTAAGAATTAACTTAAAAAGGGGAATTTTATAAATTTTTAGTAAATTAAATTGTGTCATCTCCTTAATAAAAAAAATTTTAAAAGGGGAATTTTAATAAATAAATATTTATTTTAAAAACTTTTGAATTTTTGATTTTGTGTATTTATGCGGTGGTACTTTATGATTAAATGATAATGTGTAAATATTATATATAGTTGGAATGCTAGTTATATAAATGAGAGCTTTTAGGACTTACCATGTCATACCAAGCCAGGTGAACCAATCAGGTTCTAGAATTCTTTCTCTTTCGGCTTCTATTCTGACAATACTTTTACTTAACAATTGTGATCGATGGTGTAAATGTTGCAGGGTAACGTAGTCTATGAATGAGTTTCTGTCGAAATCTCAATAATTAACATGGAAGTTAATTTTAAAAGCAAGAAAACAGAAACAAACTCTGTTTAATCTTTACCTTACAAGTCATAATTACATGTTTAAATGAAACTTTGAATTACATAACCCCTTAACCACGGCTTATAGCACAGCACTGGTTCTACATGGACACATACACAGAATATGAGCTAAAGAGCAGCCTCAGCTCATATTTTATCCCCTCTTTCTTTCCCAAGTCTTCTGATAGATCTTCTGAGCAATGGACTCATCAAAACCACTCCAAAGCTTTAGCATTCTTGAGTATATATTTAAGAATCGAACCTCTTCTGCATTATCCTTAATCAGTTCAACATTCTTCTGATTTTCCTCATCACATCCTTGAGAAAAGTGTAGAGATTGTAGATTTGGTGACTTTTGATGAACATGCATCAGTGCAGCTCCATCACGATTAGAAAAGTTGAAATTTACATCCAAATCGGTCAAGTTGTTAAATGTAGGAAGATGATTAGCTTGGAAATTTTCCACAAATGAGATAGCCTGGCAGAAAATAGAAAAGTTTTGTTATCAGAAATGAATGAATGAAAACAATTTCCTCTAATTTGCAGTATTAAGTAAAAATGGATATTGACAGCATGACATATATATACACAGATGCCTGAAATGTTTCATATGATAGTTCAAGAAATTTGACTCCACCAATTCTTTCCAATAATTTAAGTGTACGATGAAGAGCCTGAACTCGAAATCGTTGGTCATAACTCAACCAACCGAAAACATCAATCTCAGCTCGAATCCCCGAAGAGAGGTCACAAGGTATAAGTTCAACTTGCAAAGAACTTGTGTAGTAAAACTTTAAAAGATTTGGAGTACAAATCCTCATTGAAATAATAGATAATAGATAATGCCAGCAGAGTGGGAATAGAAATTGTAATTACTGTCCTTTTGCTCCAATCACAATTATCTAGATACAATTCTTTAAGGGCAGGGCAGGCAGAAAAAAGGAACTGAGTGGAATGCTCGTCCTGGAATTTAATGTAGTCCAGATATAAGGTCTTAAGCCTTGGTAAGCATATGGACGTTGGAAAATTATATAAGGCAACCTGAGTCATATGTAAGTTCAAAGAAATCAATGACTCAGGAGGTACAAAGGCAATGAGGAAAGGAAAACAAATTGGATTCCAAATAATATGGAATAGAAAGGTCAAGCTCTTCAACTCTATGGTTGACTACTTTAGATACCACTGACATTGACTCTAGTATTTGGGAAAAACGGACAGCACAATTACAGTGCAGATGAAATTTTCGTATGCATGCAGTGTCAGGAATGAGTAGCTCTCTCTGAACTCTATCCAAGAAACTAGGACGCTCCTTTTGCTTCTCCTTTCATGCGTCGAAGTCAAAACTAATCATAGTAAAGAAAGTCTACAAGTATCTCCGTCTTGTCGATAATGTAGAAGTGCTTACTATATCTTTTGTTGGTAAAAAAGATAGACTATGATGAAGAATTTCATTAGGCACTTGACTATTAAGGTCTTCTCTAGAATCATTGTACTAGACTTTGATTGAATTCATGTTCTTTGTTCTCTATTCTCCTCCCTTACACAAAAAATTAAAATTAGAAAGCTAAATTAATATCACGACTTGAACTGTCTCCCAAAACAAGCCAACAATCATCAATGAAATGAATTTGTTTTCAGTGTAAGAAATCTTATGCAGTAACAGAAACCGAAGAAAAAGAAAAATAGAGAAAGTGGGGTTACTTTGGGTTTGTGTAGATCGATAATTCTTCAACAATTAACAAACAAGAGCTGTAGGATACTACACAAGAGAATTGTTTGATTTCCTTCTGGTTTTTTTTGGCTTGGTGAAGAAATCAGGTCG